ACGAGAAGAGTGAGGTGAGACAGACGAGAAGAGTGAGGTGAGACAGACGAGAGACAAGAGTGAGGTGAGGTGAGACTGACGAGAAGAGTGGGGTGAGGTGAGACAGACGAGAAGAGTGAGGTGAGATGAGACAGACGAGAAGAGTGAGGTGAGGTGAGACGAGAGACAAGAAGAGTGAGGTGAGGTGAGACTGACGAGGAGAGTGAGGTGAGGTGAGACAGACGAGGAGAGTGAGGTGAGGTGAGACAGACGAGGAGAGTGAGGTGAGGTGAGACAGACGAGGAGAGTGAGGTGAGAGACAAGAAAAGTGAGGTGAGACTGACGAGAAGAGTGACGTTGTATTTTTGTTGTTGTTGCATTCAAGCAATTGATGCCGAATTGCCACTAATTCGAAAGTGAAAGTAAAATACACACGGTGCTTTTAAGCTATTTAAAAGCGGAGAAAAAAAGGGAACACCCCGCCCCCGCGGTGATACCGGTATTATCGGTGTTGTCACACATCGATTAACCGGTGGGAAAATTTCCTCACCGTCACAACCCTATCGCTTTAACCGTGTAAATACTAGGGGTGGGAGAAAAAAACTGATCCATCGATGCATCGCGATTCTCTCTCCAACGATTCTGGATCGATTCTGAGAATATCAGAATCGATTCTGAGCTTAGTTTTTAACCAGATGCGCGATGACGCTGAGCTTGCTTTAGAAACACCCGTGTTCTGCTTGCTTCCAATTCCTCACACACATACACCACCCCAACCTTCCGTAAAATAATCTTTCATAAAGTTCGGAAAGGTTGAAGCGAATTACAAGGACATTCGCGGGCTTCATTGCACTTGAAAATTTTGCACGCTTTGTTTGATGTTACACTTGAAGTAGGGTGTGTGAAAAATGAATGCGATTTTCATGCGCATCTCGTCAGTAAAGCCGCTTATGGTGATCAGTAGTAAATCTCCAGCACGTGCTTTCAGATGGAGCGGCATTTACTACACAGAGCCGTAGTTCACTGACAAGCTACACAAAATCGCTTTCAAAATCGGCAATGAATCGCCTGCGATTTGGAACGCGATTTTGTGTAACTTGTCAGTGACCTACGGCTCTGTGTAGTAAATGCCGCTCCATCTGAAAGCACGAAGTCATCATTTATGTGGTTTGGAATGCAGTGGACTTGTATATTTATGGGAAAATTTCCTCACCGTCACAACCCTATCGCTTTAACCGTGTAAATACTAGGGGTGGGAGAAAAAAACTGATCCATCGATGCATCGCGATTCTCTCTCCAACGATTCTGGATCGATTCTGAGAATATCAGAATCGATTCTGAGCTTAGTTTTTAACCAGATGCGCGATGACGCTGAGCTTGCTTTAGAAACACCCGTGTTCTGCTTGCTTCCAATTCCTCACACACATACACCACCCCAACCTTCCGTAAAATAATCTTTCATAAAGTTCGGAAAGGTTGAAGCGAATTACAAGGACATTCGCGGGCTTCATTGCACTTGAAAATTTTGCACGCTTTGTTTGATGTTACACTTGAAGTAGGGTGTGTGAAAAATGAATGCGATTTTCATGCGCATCTCGTCAGTAAAGCCGCTTATGGTGATCAGTAGTAAATCTCCAGCACGTGCTTTCAGATGGAGCGGCATTTACTACACAGAGCCGTAGTTCACTGACAAGCTACACAAAATCGCTTTCAAAATCGGCAATGAATCGTCACAATGTGTAGCTTGTTAGTGAAAATCCAGACGAGGAGAGTGAGGTGAGACGAGAGACAAGAAGAGTGAAGGGAGACAGACGAGAAGAGTGAGGTGAGGCGAGGACGACGAGGAGAGTGAGGTGAGAGACGAGAAGAGTGAGGTGAGGTGAGACAGACGAGAAGGGTGAGGTGAGACGAGAGACAAGAAGAGTGAGATGAGGTGAGACGAGAGACAAGAGTGAGATGAGGTGAGACCGATTTGGAACGCGATTTTGTGTAACTTGTCAGTGACCTACGGCTCTGTGTAGTAAATGCCGCTCCATCTGAAAGCACGAAGTCATCATTTATGTGGTTTGGAATGCAGTGGACTTGTATATTTAAAATATGAACCTCACTAACAGAAGGCTGCTTTCAATTTCAAATGCTGACATGTGCTTTGTTTGTGAAGACTGCTCACGCATGCGTCTCAAAATGGTTTTATGACGCAAAATTAATGTAAACACAGCCAGTTATGTCTTAAGGGATAAAACGGACAGGACAAACCACATTACTTCTTATATTTCAAAAGAGATCCGTGCGTGAATGCAGCTCAATAGATCTCCCGCTGTCTGTGATGTCATAGTAAAAAACAACAGTAAAGATGAAGAAAAATCACTCAGTTCTTGAATGGAAAACATTCAGATCATCTTAGTTTCTATGCTCCTCTTTATTATTTGCTACTTGCTTGTATGTTTTGAAGTTATATTAGTTTAAAATTCTTAACATACAACTGTTTTAATTATTTTTTTTCAATTTGTAATGATTTTAAAAAGTACTTAATTACCCATGTAAGGATATGTAAAAGTAAGGATTTTAAGATTCTCAAGTTGGTAAACGAATTAATTAATTAGTAAGGGGGGAAAAAATTAGATCAAGAATCGTTCTGGAATCGGATCATGAGGTGACTACAGATTCCCACCCCTAGCAAATACTAGTGATGGACGGAAATTTCGGAAACCAATTACCATTACTAATATTTTCCTTTTTTTAAAACTCCAAAACTGGTAACATGTCAGCTGTGTGGATGGTAGTGCTCAATTAACAATATCGGTTTGCCTTTTTTTGCTTATTTTGAGATGTTTTAGTCTAACGCATGTAACAAGATTCCCACCCCTAGCAAATACTAGTGATGGACGGAAATTTCGGAAACCAAAATATTTGTGTTATATACCAATAATATTACTAATATTTTCCTTTTTTTAAAACTCCAAAACTGGTAACATGTCAGCTGTGTGGATGGTAGTGCTCAATTAACAATATCGGTTTGCCTTTTTTTGCTTATTTTGAGATGTTTTAGTCTAACGCATGTAACCTCAGACACTTTGATCTTCTGAGATATGGACAATACAAACACAGTTTATTAACATACAGGCATCCGTTTCCACTTCTCACTGAGAGAAGATGCGGGAAAGCTTCTTTCTCACCTTTGCATTGTTCATCCTCCCCCATTTCACGCCCTTCACTCAGAATGGTCAATAGCATAATCTAATGTTCTACATGAATGCAAGTGATATTCACAGTCATGTTTGGTTTCATTTGAAATGACTGGTACAATGGTCTCAATCTTACAAGGAGACTAAAAGGTAATGAAGATTACCAAACGGTGGAGGTACGGGTCCAAATGGGCCGATTGGACGAGGAGGGCCGTATGAGCCCATGGGTGGCGGTCTGAAGCGCTGCTCTGGCGGGATCATGGGCGGGTGGCCATTGAGCGGTCGTATCATCATGGGTGGCATGACTGGGGGTCCGTACGACTTCGGTGGAGGAACCGGAGAATCACGGATGGGAGATGGCAAGAAGGATCCCTGACTCTGAGACTTGGAGAGCTGGAGGAGAAGATGCAGAACTACAGGTTATGAAAAAAAGTGATTTAACACCGGATTCCTGTTAACCGACCCAAGCAGACATCAGTGAACCACTGCAAGGCCAGAAACATACTTTATACAAGAACAACAGCAGAAACAAGCGCTTCACAAACACTTCTGTTAGCCCAACATCTTAGACATAAAACATTTTAATATTCCAGTCGCCCTGAGATTTTAAGTTTTTTTTCAATCATTTAACATTCACATGCATGCTCACGGTTCTCTGATGTTGTTTAATGGTCACACTGGTGTTTTAGGAACCCAATCACATTGAATATAATAATAACAACAATAATAACCCTAATAATAGTAGTAATAATAATATATATATAATAATTTTTTACTATATTAACCAATTATAAAAAAAATAAAGAAATCTTACTGCTGTAAAATAAAAGTTTAATTTAAAACAAAATAAAGATTGATAATTGTATTTTACACTACAAATTACAATACTAATATTTGTCTTAAATTCTTCACTTACGAATGTTCAAACTCTCAAGCTTTTAACACTTCAATGCCTCAAGCTTAATTAATAATTATCATAACTGTTGATTATTAATCTAATTATAAAAAATGAAACAGTGTTGTAAATTACAATTGTACTGTAAAATTTTTTTTTAATTGAATATAATAACATTAATAACTATAATAATTAATTAATTAATTATTAATGGATACTCAAGCTTTTATAATTTATGAAATATGTATATTTGTAAAATATTTAAGCTTTTGACATTTCAAAGCCTCAAGCTTTTATTTTGGCAGAATACGGCTGAAAGGCTGTAAACTTCAGTGTACAAAAATGTTAGAAATTATGAAAATCTGTAAAAGCACGAGTGGCAAATGTTGCGTTACCCAACTCGCAAGACATGCAGAGATGAAGCTGCATTATTTGTGCAGCCCGATTTATTTATTTTCATTTTACATTAAATTCAATTTTACATACTTAACATGCGCTTGTGTCACTGTGGTGGTAATGCATCTTACTACTCATTAGGGCCGATAAAGTCTTGTTGTGTTCCATTTCAATCAATCTTGCATTGCTAGAACTATTTTGCATTCATGTACTTGTGTAGAGTATGTTTCAGGCCTATACATGCTGTAACTCACTCACCGACATGAGGTTTGTTAAACATACGCCACATTCTGAGCACAAGACCCACACGGTAATTAGAAAGTGAACAGAAAGACATGTTGTGATTAATCAGGCTCTGAAGACCCCCAAAACAGACCCTGGCACTGTGCACAAACCTGTCCCATCCATCCCAGCACCCAGCCGCTGTACTCACAGGCTCTATGGGCTCAGACGAGACCTGCTCTGAGGCCTCGGCCGTCTCACTGACCGGTGCCGGCTGCTTTAAAGCAAACACACCCATCGCCGTTTAATGGAGAACAACATCTGGATACGCATGACTGTTTACTGGAGATCTCCTCGCTCACATTTGGACATATTGTACATAAAATCTCAGAGAAAAACATGACAGCTGTGATCCTTACCATCGGTCCATCGTGTGCACAGGGAGATGAAGTCATCGGAGGAAACATTTCTGAAAAAGACATTTAGACATCTGTGAATGCAGATATAATGTAGATCTTAAACCGTGCAATGCAAACCATATCTGATAAAGATTTATTAAAAAAAATAAAAAATTATTTAAAATTAATGCTGTTCTTTTGATCTTTCTATCCATCAAACAATCACAAAATATGTAAACAATGTTTTTAATTTCTCTATTTAGCTTTAATTTATTTCAGTTTGCCATTTTAGTATTTATTTTAGATGACAAGCCAACATTTCTAATTTTCATTTAAGAATTTAAGCTTTTCATCTAAAATTTATATTTTATTTTAGCTATATTTCAAATCAAGAAATGACCATTGTCATATTTTTTAGTATACTTTTCCTATGTAGCTTTGATGTATATTTATTTCAGTTTTAGTTATTTTGGTACTTATTTTATTTAGTTGGCAATGCAACATTTCTCATTTTCATTTCTTTTTTTTTTTTTGTTAGCAAGAAAGCATTAAATTGATCAAAATAAAAATTGATGCCAATAAAGACATTTATAAATGTTACAAAAGATTTCTATTTCAAATAAATGTTGTTCTTTGGAACTTTGTATTCATCAAAGCATCCTGAAAGATCAAATGTATCATGGTCTCCACAAAAATTTGAAGCAGCACAACTGTTTTCAACATTGATGATAATCATAAAAATAAAATGTTTCTTGAGCAGTGATCATGTGACACTAAAGACTGGAGTAATGATGAAAATTCAGCTTTGACCACAGAAATAAATTACATTTTACAATATATTACAATAGACAACAGGTATTTTAAATTGTAATAATATTTCAAAATTTTCACTGTATTTTTGATCAAATAAATGCAGCCTTCTTTGCTGCTTTATAACAGGTCGTATCATAAGCACCTGGTCTGGACGGCAGCGGGTGTCCGAGATCCGAGAAGCGTCCGTGAGGGTCAGACGGGGGTCGTGGACCTGGAACAGATCACAAGGGATCAGGAGCTGTTATCAGTCATTTATACTGACATTAGAGGCTGGAGTTCAGGAGCAAACACATCAGCAACGCTTTCAATGACAAAGACTGAAGGAAATGCTCCGAGGAGAGAAACTGAGGGGGAAATGACAGGAAAGCTAAAACGGAGAGCGACTCAAAAACAGGAAAGCTGGAAAATGAAAGGAGAGGATAAAGTGGAGGAAGACGACACAGCGGCGACTCACCGAACGGATCGCCCCGTCGCCCTACAGGTGCAGAGGGGGGGCGTCCTGGACCCTCTATCATTAGAGGAGGAGAGGGAGCCCCCCCACTCACAGGAGACGGCCCGTACAAATCACCTGTTCAGACCAAACCAGCACAATCAGAAACAATGAGCCAATGACACAACCGGACACATAAGAGCAATCAACCCTGCGCTAAGCTCCGCCCCTCGGTTACTGTCGCAGAGTCTGACAAGCCTCCCAAAGGTAGAAAAAAAAGTGAAAAAGTACTATATTATGATGAGTATTTTTAAAAACTGCATATTTATGTGTTATGTGTATGTTAAATGTCAGAAGAAAACCGATCAAATACTGCTTGTATTCTCTCTGGACTTCATTGACTTACATTATAGCAGCATTGTTTGTATACTAATATAGTAGTTATTATTTTTCATTAGCTTTCATTTTAATTTTAGTTATTTGTTAATATGCTTTTGTCACTAGGTTTTGGATAAAAAATAAAAAAAAACTTTTTCTATCTAGCTATTAAGTTATCTAATAATTATATTTTATTTCAATTTTATTTAAATTAATGAAAAAGATTTGTAATAGCCTGCCTAAATGTGGTTTTGTCATTGGCAGTTTAAACATTTTTTTTCTCTATTAAGCTATTCTGTTTAAGTTTATTTAATAATTATATTTCAATTAATGAAAACAATTTTTAATAGTTTTGGTTAACAATAACAATTTTTCTATTTATCATTAATGATTTTTATTTCAGTTTTAGTTATTTTGGTACATATTTTATATATTACATTCTTTCATCTAATATTTACATTTTATTTCAATTAATAAAGATTTTTAGTTTCTGTTAACAATAACAACTTGGCATTATACAAGAATGAAACCCTGTCAGACTGAATGCATGTCATCAGTTGTTTTTTAAACAATGAATTTCTATTTTGCATGAATGATTTTATTTCCATATTAGTTATTTTAGTACTTATTTTAGTCACCCAGGCAACATTTCTATTTTTTTTGTTTTACATCTAATATTTATATTTAACTTAGTTTCTGCTTAATTTCAATTTATGAAAATGATTTGATTAGTTTTCATTAATAAAATAACATTGCATTTATACAAGAATGACCGTCTGTGTCTGAAAAAATAATTATTTTAAAAAATAATGTTTGTGTTTTCTTTCATTTATTCTTACTTCAGTTATTTTAGTACTTAACGTTTTTTTACATTTTCATCTAATAACAATAACAAAAATGATTTTTAATAGTTTGTTAACACCACTACATTATGCAAAAACAAAAGCCTGACAGAAACTCCTCACCTCGGCGCTGTGGAGGCATGTGGCGGTCTGGAGGTCCAGAGTTGAGTTTGAACAGACTTTGCTCCAGGTTTGATATTTTATCTCTGTACTCCACAAGCCTTTACAAATGCACAAACACCAGAGTTCAGCAACTAGTGTTGTCACGGTACCAAAATTTCAGTATTCGGTACCAATACCAGTGAAAATCCACCAAAAAAAAAAAAACATGCCAATTAAAAATTAATCCAAACTGTGTACATATTTAATTTTAAAGGGCTTTTAAAACCTTCTAGAGTTATTCAGCCAAGAATAACAACTAAGTTAGCTAAAAAAAGCAACAACAAAAAAAAAAGCCCAGAATTGCTTTTCTGACTGATATGAAAGTTAACCATTTGTACATTCTCTAGCACGCATATTTTAGATTCACAGTTAAAGCCTCTGGTGTGTAAAAATAGTAAATATCATCATGTCCTCCTGTTTTTTTAACCCTAATAAAAGCTATAGGAGCATTAAATAGTTAATAAAGAAACTTCAGTCGAATGCTCATTATATTAGGGTTAGCTGCACTTGTGCTAACGATGAACTACTCTAATAACAGCGATGAGCATTTCAATCCGACATTCAAATGAAACTTACCTGCTTGAACGCTTTCATTTGATCCGGGTGTCTGTCTTTAAAGTGTTTTGTTAGTTTGATGCGTTTCCTCATTTTGATGTCGCCACGTCTCAGTGCTTTTATGAAGAGAGCGCATCTGCTTTTGCGCTCTCCGTAAAACATCCGTTTGAATTTTTTTACACTAACAGCAATGATATGGAGGATACTGCATTTGAACAGTGTGATATTCTATTGTTCCATTCTATTATAAAAAAAAAAAAACCCCTAGTTACGTGTGCCGTGCTAGACTAACTGAGACTTGTCATGCACTTGTATACTGTTGTTGTTCTCTCGTTGGTCTGATTGCTTCTATTGTTCTCATTTGTAAGTCGCTTTGGATAAAAGCATCTGCTAAATGATTAAATGTAAATGTGATTTGATGAATACTCACTTCTGACGAAGAGTGGCCGACTCTCTTCGTTCCTCCACCAGAGTTCGTTCAGAGGTGCGGGCTTTCAACTATAAAAAGGAAAAAAAAAAAACAGTAGGTATGATTAATACATCGGTAAATATATCAGTATTAGCCAATTTTATTATTATTAATAAAAATGTAATAATTTTGTTATCTGCTTTTGTCTTTGCCATTTAATTGTAATGCTTTTAAATATTTATAAATAATTGTAAGCTATCAGAATCAGTCAGCAAAAGACTGAAAGCTTCTAGTTTTCATTACAAAGTCTACAAATGGTTTTCATTTTTCTGGATTGTTTTAATGGTTCAATTAAATTTTATAAAAATAAAAAAAGCATGTCTAATTAATTGAAATCATAAAATTAGACAACTTAAAAACAATTTATTAAAAGTTTAACAAAATACATTTTTAGGGCCCCATAAAATCCGTTTTATTCCATGTTTTCTGCTTTAATTTTACATTTTTATAATTTTAATAATCAAAAAGCATGTCTACTCAATTGAATTCATAAAATTTTTACATTTTAAAAATTTCTTACGATTTTTACAACAACATGGCCACAATAGTTTTTTTTTTCCCCCCCCAGAAATTGTGTTGTCCGTTAAAACTTTTCTAGATTTATGATTTAATATAAACGTATTATCAAAAACAGTGTTAATCAAATGAAGGCATGAAACATAATTTAACTAATCTTTTCAAATGTAAACCAATGAATATGAACAATTATTAAATTTTTTGGCAAATTGCTGTACAACAGAAGTTTACTGTTAAAATTAAAACTATAAAAAAAAAATGTAAGGAATATTGCACATTTTCATTATTAATATTACTATTAGTAGTATTACCATAAGTAGTGCATTCCACTGTACAATAGTAATATTTCTGTATTTAAAACAGCATTTAAAACATTCTGAAATGTGTACCATATCAGTTATTGGTCATAACACACAAATAATTGTAAGCGATCAGTATCAGCCAGTGAATCCCCAATACAAAAGACGAAAAGCTTCTAGTGCTCATTACGAAGACGAAGCGTGGTAATTACTCACCCAGTTCTCATGGACTTTCTTCTCCTGGATTGCCACCTGTTAGAAAGCGATGGCAGGGAGATGAGAATGAGACTATGATGAGTTGAGAATACAGTGATTCTGTCAGTAAATGTTTCTCACCTCAGACTTCAGAGAGCGTTCGTTCTGCTGCATCTCGTCCTCGATGTCCTTGATCTTCTGTTTCAGGGCTCTCACCTCCTCCTCTGAGAGCACAGCTTTACTGTCCACCTCCGACAGCTTCGTCTCCTTCTCGCGTCTCTCCAGCTCCTCCTGAGTCAGTTTCCTACACACACACACACACACACACACATCACCAATGCAGCGACATGAAATACAGGCTGCACTTGAGGTTTGAAATTCAATTGATATGAAATCTGTGTCATCCTGAACAGCCAGATCAGAATTTAAGTCATCTATTTCTTCTCATTTCTCCTGTTTTCTAGCTGTCGTTGTCTAATAAACCTGGCACTTTGTTCCTCTGTTGGAAGTCACCTGTTAAACGCGTCAATGTAAATGTATTTTGCATTATTTAGGATGCAGCGTCAATGCAAAAGGTCAAGTCAAGTCACCTTTATTTGTATAGTGCTTTATACAATACTGGTTGTCAAAGCAGCTTTAGAGTCAAACAGGAAAATAGTTTGTCAATGATGCAACAGCTGTGTGAAATACAGTAGTTTGTATCATAACGTGCACTTGTGCGCAAGATTTCTAGTTTCCATCTGCACTTCCACTGCACAAACTTACAGCTGATGCTCAAGTTTTTCCCCCCTGAGATAGTTTAATAGCTAATAGTTTATGTTGAATATTTTAGAACACAGTAACTAAAAACATGGAAATAATAAATGAAACACACACACACACATATATATATAGCGCAACATTGAACTAATGGATCTAATTTGAGCACTCGATTTTTTATTTCACACTGAAGAATTACAATATTAATACCTTATTTTGTTTAGCATATATTTCTTCTTTAAAAAAATAAAAAATTATATTTCCCCAAATTGTGCAGCCCCAATTAAATGCATCAATAACAGATCACAATAACTGGCTTTTTATACTAATGGATCTCTTTATTTTACAATGAACTATGAGAATTTTTATATTAGGGCTGGGTATCGATTCAGAAGTCCCGATTCGATTCGATTTCGATTCGCAAGCTCTCGATTCGATTCTTGGTTCGATTCTCGATTTTTTTTTATTACATTCAGTGAATATAGTTTTAATACAAATGCTATTGATATTTCTAATTAAAAAAAAAAAAGAAAAAAGAAAGAGTAAACATCAGTTTACAAATGGTAAATTAATAAAAAGAAATTAAGAGCCACAGGCCTGTATTTTAAACCTATTCTTTATTGTATAGGGTCCTTTTTAAACAATAATAAGGCCTAATAAAATGTTCTTAATTTTTCTGGTAATCAGATGAAGGCATAAAACATTCATTTAATTTATCCTAATCAACTGAAAATTAAACACTTTTATTTTTTGGCAAACAAAGTGCTGCACAACAGAGGTTTACTGTTAAAATTAAAAAAAAAAACAAATGTGATTATTCCTTTAAAAATAAAGATTTATTCATATTTATTAGTAGTAGCAGCATTGTTGTTACATTGAGTCTTAAGACTGCTAAATAGTAATATTTCTGATACAGTTTCTTCACGTTAAACTAAACTTTTATTTTGAAGGGGTTGCCTTGAGGAACTTGCAGCTGCTGTGTATGTGATATGACGGTAGTTTTGTCAAATTAAACGGTAAAATGCTAATGAAGTGACTCTCAGAGCAGCTGGGGATGATATTTGTGTATTCATATCATCAGAGTGAGACGACAGAGGCTGAAAACACCACAAGCGTCGTCCGCGCTTTAATAAGCGTGTAGTAAACGAAACAGTGCGTCGCAACACCCGCCATTCATTCATTGCAGAAATCATGGCGCCTTATGCGTGATATCAAATGCATCCACACATTTGTAGTATTACTATAGAATTTTACCTGAGCATTGCAAATTACGCATATTGCTTTGTTCTTGTCAACAGTATCTCCGCCATAAGCACTGAATGAATGACAGGCTTTCCGTTGTAACATTGCGTAAGGGTGACATCTAGTGGAGAAAACTGATGAAAAGATTCACATTAATCAGATCTTGTTTTAAATGTTTGCTGAAATAAATACAGGAAAAGATCGATTTAAAGCTTTTGAGAATCGATATCGAATTGACGCCATTTAAAAAAATTATTAATCAAAAAATTTTATTTTTTTTTGCCCAGCCCCAATTAATATATCTTATTTTGTTTTTGTTTTAAATCGCATTTTAATAATAAAAATAAATACATTTCTGCAAATTGTACACACCCAATTAAATGCATCGATAACCGATAACATCTGGCTTTTTATACATTATTCTTAGGCTATTCATTATATGTTAATAGAATGCCTTCATACATACTAACTTAAAACATAGAAATAAAAAAAAATTACTATATGGCAACACTCCCTGAACTAATGGATCTGATTAGAATTTTACAGTGAACTATTACAATGTTAAAATATCTTATTTTGTTTAATATCTTTTTTTTTTCATTTTTATCTTTCTTTTTTTTCCAAATTGTGCAGCCCCAATTCAATGTATCTATATTTTGTAAAAAAAATTAACTGAATTTTAAACTGAAATCAAAATGCATTTCCATAATCGTGCAGCCCTAATTTTATATATATATATATATATATTAGACACAATAGCTGGCTTTTTGTGGTTGGTCTTTTTTTACTTTAATTTTGAAATTGAAATTTGGAATAAATTACACACACAAATAATTATTCTACTTAGTAGAATGCCTTCTGTACGGTTTCATTTTATACACACTAACTAAAAACATGGAATTAAAATTCTTATATTGCAACACTCCCTGAACTACTGATCTGATCTGTGCACTTGTAAAGGGTTTGATCGTGCATGGATGCGATGTAATGGTGTGCAGTGTGAATGAAGTGTGAGCTCTCACTGCTGCAGTGCGTTCTCTTTCTGCTGGTAGAGTTCAGTGGTGATTTCCAGCCTCTGCTGCAGGTGCTTGAACTGGTTCTCCAGATGCGTTTTCTCATTGTTCAGATTCATCTGGGCATGCATGACATTCTGATATTGCTCTAGATTAAAAACAAAACAATACATGACTAGATGAAGAGGTAGAAAGCCGATCGGAAGGTGTTCGAACGAACAGTCGCAGTCTTCATACCCTCCAGCTCCTGTCTGGCTTTCTGTTCGGCGAGGAGACTTTCCACGTAGCGATTCCTCTTGTCTTCAACAACGCTGAGAGTCACTTTAATCTGTGAAACAGAAACTGCATTAGAAATGAGAAGAGTGTTGAATTATCCTCAAAATAAAATCAGACCCATGTACCCTGGAGACGTCCATCATCTGCTTGATTCGCAGTCTCACGCTGTCCATCTTCTTCTCTGAAAGCAAACAGACGCTTGTCGTTCAGAACGGAGGAGAATGTTTCATCTAACCAGCTTCGAGCAGCTCATTGCTCGTGTAAAACAGCAGCAAAATGATAAAAGACACCAATGTTCATTGAATACATGTAGGGCAGCACGACTAATCGCAATAAAATCTAAATCACAAGCAGTTTATCAAATTTAAGATAAAGCCGCAACCATTCAACATTTGAAAATGAAGATATTAAGACAGCCGTAAATATATGTTGTAATTTTACAATTCTACGGTAAAATAAAATTACATAATTTTTCGTACTTTGTTCACTGTAATATTAGAATCGCACTGTTATTTTGTTTAATTTGTTAATAACAACAACTACTTTTAATATTGTTAATAATATAATTATTAAAGTTAAATTAAAAAAATATATAATTTTTTTAAATATTAAAGATTAAATGCATTAAATTAATACATTTAAATATTACTATTACTACTACTAATAATAATAATTTAATATCCTATTTTGTTTAACATTACATTTAGAATTATGCTAATTATTATTATATTGATTAATCACTCATTTTTGGCCAAATTGTGCATACAAACAAACATTTTATTGCAGCAGAAATTATCAGAAAAACTACAATAATATTTTTCCCATCATTAATAGATCACAATAACTAGTTTTTATGGTTGCCAAGCAACAAAACAATCAAACCTCATTCTATAAACATTGGTCCTCTTGCAGCATGAAGAACAGAATTATTCAGATTTTGAATAAAATAAATTTAATCTATACTGAAATCTGTCAAATCCAAAATAATTCCATATAACAGTGCTTTTGACTTTAGTTCTAAAGCTTCTCAGAGTGTCAGACATCTCCTCAGCACTCGCGAGCAGAAGTAAAACATCAGATTATTTCTAGCTCTTGAGCACTTCTTTTCTCAGCAGATGACTTTCTGAATTTCCCACGTTTCATCTGCGGATCACAGCAAACTCAAGCATTTTAATGAGCCACTCTAGATGAGAGCCTGTGCAAATGCAAATGTATGCAACTCCAAAAGACCAAAAACAGACCGGGAAAACAAATTTAAATAGAAACTGGAGTTATAAATAGAGTGCTTACCAGCATCTTCTCCGTTAGACATTTTAGCATCGTCTTTCTGTAGTTCTGCAGGATCACAGGCTCCCAGATGATTGAGCTCTGCAATACAGCTGGACAAAACCTAGACACCAGAGCATGGGATGCCATGCATTTACACCGTGATATTTTGAGAAACACACCATAATTTCCACTGGAGCACCTGTTTTATCAAATGCAACAAGCTTCACTCACGTCAATCTCATTCTCCTTGTGCACCAGAGTGTCTTCCAGCTCTTTCTGGGACTTGTGGTAAACTCGGATCGCCTCGCTCAGTTTCTTGTGCTTCTCCTGCCAGTCTTTCGCATCACGGAGGAGCTGTTTGAAAATAAATGATCATTCGATTCAAGCTGACATCGATGGATGAATGAGATTCACAGCTCTGACAGCAGGACTCACAGATTTCTTCTGCTCTTTTAAAGCGCCGGTTTCCTTCTCGAAGGACAGAACCTGAGCCTTAAAGGCATCTTCTCTGAGTTTGGCTTCATCCATGAGGACATGAACCTGTTACCAAATCAAAACAAACCCCAAATGTTCAGATACATATTCAAGGGACTACAAAACTAGGCTATAGTTAACTCAAACTAAAACTAATTTAAATAGAAACTGGAGTTATAAATAGAGTGCTTACCAGCATCTTCTCCGTTAGACATTTTAGCATCGTCTTTCTGTAGTTCTGCAGGATCACAGGCTCCCAGATGATTGAGCTCTGCAATACAGCTGGACAAAACCTAGACACCAGAGCATGGGATGCCATGCATTTACACCGTGATATTTTGAGAAACACACCATAATTTCCACTGGAGCACCTGTTTTATCAAATGCAACAAGCTTCACTCACGTCAATCTCATTCTCCTTGTGCACCAGAGTGTCTTGATCATACAAAATGCATGTTATTTTTTATTTAGTATTGTCCCAAGTAAGATATTTTACAAACAAAATGCATGCCACTGTCTTCTCATTAGACAAATTAAAGAAAGAAATTATATATACAGTGGGTACGGAAAGTATTCAGACCCCCTTAAATTTTTCACTCTTTGTTATATTGCAGCCATTTGCTAAAATCATTTAAGTTAATTTTTTTCCCTCATTAATGTACACACAGCACCCCATATTGACAGAAAAACACAGAATTGTTGACATTTTTGCAGATTTATTAAAAAAGAAAAACTGAAATATCACATGGTCCTAAGTATTCAGACCCTTTGCTCAGTATTTAGTAGAAGCACCCGGCAGTATGGTTGTCATGATCTCACACCTTACACGATCACACGTAATATTATAATGTAAATTATATTTTGCTAATAACTAGCTTGTTTTCATATTATATGATGCAATAATGCCTATATTTTTTTACATAATCCAGTGCATTAAATATTTAATAAATTATAATTACTGCAGCATGTGATTATCTGATACACACAAACCAAAACATCAGCTTATTTTTAAATGAATAAATCTGACATCAGTGCAAAAAAAGATCTTTGAGATCAAATGTATATTTAGCTGATATCTCAATCATAATGAGGCTGACTTACACTGATAGGTTCTGCCTTTGATCTAGAGGAGAAGAGAAGATTTGAATGGCACTGATTAGACTGAAGCAATCTCAAATGAATGAAAACATTCATCACAAGGTGATTCTTACAGCGAGAACCGTCCTCCAGAAGAACATCAGTACTGTAAATGTACCGACAACCGCCGTAACCACCACCGGCTCCCAGGGGACGCCGTGCAAAGTGGGTCCCGGTCGCCATTCCTCTGGAAGACCAGTGATCAGCTGATCGACACAAAAACACATGAAGTATCATCAGTTTTATGATAACTACTACAAAAAACCTCCTCATTTAACTACTTGGTTTCTACTGAAGCACATTTTCACCAAGGGATATAGAAGTAAAAAAGGTCATTGCAACTTTTTATCTCACAATCTGACTTTTATTCTAGCAATTCTGAGTTCACAATAAAAATAAAAAAAACTGAATTACGAGATATAAACTCACAATTACGAAAAAAAAAAGTCAGAATTGCGAGTTTATACCACGCAGTTCTGAGAAAAAAAGTCAGAATTGCGAAAAATAAACAATTATGAGAGAAAAAAGTCAGAATTGTGAGAAAAAAAAAGGTCAGAATTGCGAGATATAAACTCGTAATTGCGAGAAAAAAAAGTCAGAATTGCGAGATATAAACTCGTAATTGCGAGAGAAAAAAAGTCAGAATTGCGAGATATAAACACAATTATGAGAGAAAAAAGTCAGAATTGCGAGATATAAACTCGTAATTGCGAGAGAAAAAAAGTCAGAATTACGAGATATAAACTCAATTATGAAAAAAAAAAGTCAGAATTGCGAGTTTATACCACGCAGTTCTGAGAAAAAAAGTCAGAATTGCGAAAAAGAAACACAATTATGAGAGAAAAAAAGTCAGAATTGTGAGAAAAAAAAGGTCAGAATTGCGAGATATAAACTCGTAATTGCGAGAAAAAAAAGTCAGAATTGCGAGATATAAACTCGTAATTACGAGAGAAAAAAGGTCAGAATTGCGAGATATAAACACAATTATGAGAGAAAAAAGTCAGAATTGCGAGATATAAACTCGTAATTACGAGAGAAAAAAGGTCAGAATTGCGAGATATAAACACAATTATGAGAGAAAAAAGTCAGAATTGCGAGATATAAACTCGTAATTACGAGAGAAAAAAGGTCAGAATTGCGAGATATAAACTCGTAATTGCGAGAAAAAAAAGTCAGAATTACGAGATATAAACTCAATTATGAAAAAAAAAAGTCAGAATTGCGAGTTTATACCACGCAGTTCTGAGAAAAAAAGTCAGAATTGCGAAAAAGAAACACAATTATGAGAGAAAAAAAGTCAGAATTGTGAGAAAAAAAAGGTCAGAATTGCGAGATATAAACTCAATTATGAGAAAAAAGTCAGAATTGCGAGAAAAAAGAAAGTCAGAATAGCGAGATATAAACTCGTAATTGCGAGAAAAAAAGTCAGAATTACGAGATATAAACTTGTAAGGATAAAAGAAATTCAAATACTTTGATCTTCTGAGACAGACAATACACACACAGTGCATTAACATACAGACATCTGTCTCCACATCTCACTGAGAGAAAATGCGGGAAAATGTCTCTCACATATGCATTGGTTCCTCCTCATCCCCTTCCTTCCCCTCACCCATCCTTCTCTTCACCCAGCTCACTCAGAATGGTCAAGAATATAATGTTCTATATGAATGCAAATAAGATTTACAG